GACCTTCTAGCTGTGAGGCGCTAACGGTGCTAACCACTGATCCACCTGCAGCCCGAACACATGATCAATAAAACAAATTTTCACAAATAGATGAAATACGATCAAGTGTAGAATATTAATCTGTGATTAACTGCAGTGTGGAAATACTTTGATAAAAGTTCATTTCATGCATCTTCACTTTTGTCTGTGAGTCAAACTGCAGGTGGACGTTCTGCATCGGTTTGTTCACGTCAGTGTGATTCGCTGCCTGATTCTGACGTGGTTTTTGCTTTCAAAATGTAACCCCAGTGTGCTGAAACAGAGGAATCTAAAGAATGGACCAATTCTGTCACTGAATTATTTCATTTAAACAACACGAAAAAAATAGAAGCCAAAAACTGCAAAAGAGATTCTAATTAGAACAAATGAATTTTAATACTTATCAGCTGAAACTGTTTCTGTGTTTATGTTAACAGTCATTAGATAAATAAGAATAAAAACACCTTCGATTGTAGAGAATAAGCGAATTCCTGTAGCTCCATGTAGCTTGAACACAATTTTATTATAAGTTGTTTGAGCTGAACAAAGCTGTCAGATGAGTGAAGTGGATTAAAGGAACAACAGTGTGACCGGTTCCTGATGTGTTCATTTAAGATAAAGTTTGGCTGTTTCAGTGCTTCTAACATTGACCTGCAGTTTGACTTTGACACGTTGCCTGACGTGCAGTAAAACTCTGTCCGCCGGTCAAACTGCAGCAGAGTGATGCGGGTTTGTGCTGATTTCGGTGCAGATCTGCTGCGATACGAGCAGCTGAGCTTTGTGCTGCTGATTCCTGCAGATCTCACGCCGAGATTCTGCACAAACCTGCTGATCTGTGGAACACGGAGGGTTCACGCTTTACCGGCATGAAGGTGAAACCAGAACATCAAGGTGAGCGTAACTGCTGTGGTGGCGGAAGTACGGACGAGGGTACAAGTTTAGGTTTAAAGCCGATAAATGTCTTTGTTAAACTTGTGATTTCAGCAAGTTTACCGTATATGGTCTCACATGATAAGCTGGTGCAATATTTCTAGTATTTAATCCTGTATTTTCCATATTCATTGCAGTACTTGTCATACTTTTTGCAGTATTTCAAGCATTTATCACTATATTTGTAGAATCGATTGCAGTATCTGTAGTATTCATTGTGA